GATGCAACTGTCTGAGATAACGAGTTATAACTCATCGGTTAATGAGTTATAAGTCATTTATTAAAGCTTTACGAGACCCGAGACTGGAACTTTCACATCTAAAAAAAGGTCATTAACGTTTTTTCTGAGTAACGTTTTACTACTTTGTTCAAACAACTAAAAAAAGTCATCTAGATTTTCCCAGCAACAGAAGCAACAGAGTTTTCCTGTAAAATCGATCTCTCAACTTTTTTGCATAAAAGATTCAATTTGCCAGTGTTTTACAGTAAAACGTTAGGAAAAACGCGGTTTTTCTGTTTAGAGACAGTGTTGTTTAGAAATATTGACCTAAAAGTGAAGAAACCCCAATTTCCAAGAGTTTTATGGACTAAGGTTCAATGATTATAAACTTTCGCTTTTTCACTTCGGCGAAATATTTTTGGAAAGACCCAGAAATAGTTATTAGGGTTTTGTCCATAATTCGAAGCTTCAAAGTTTTCAAAAATGTTTGCAAAGCGGTTAAGGAGGCGAATGTTCCAATAAAACAATTTTTTACAGAAAATACCTGAAGATTGTCAATATTTTAACTAAAACTAAAAATAATGCAATTTTTGGGTAGAAAGAATTGCCTAATAGAAACTTTTTCAAAACTGGAATGGCCTGAAAATTTAAAGGAACTTTAAAAATTTTTAGGCCGATGAGAGCGGCGAATTTTCAAAATAATTTTTTGTAAACTTTTGCTCTTTCGGTAAAAAACTGAATGCAATTATCTGGTTTTTGTGACACATTCGAAGCTGAAATTGGGTTTCTAAAGTTCTCTGCAAACCGATGAATGCGCCGAATTTTGTAGCAAAATTAATTTAAAAAAATAAGTTTTTTGCGTTTTCGATTAAAAACTTTTAGTTTTGTGTAAACTTTTGGTTTTGAAGAAATCCGTACTGGTTTTCGGGGAAAACGGGAGGAATTTATTTTCGTTTTTGTCCCGAATTCGACGATGAAAAAGTTGTAACATTTTTACAAAGCTATAAATTTATCTGGTAATTTTTCGCGCAACAGACCTCCAGATCGTCAGTATTTTTAAGTGAAACTCTACAAAATAGAGCGCCTTTGAATAAAAAGTAAAGCAAAAAAATCAGTGAAAGCTAAAAAACCACATTTAAAAAAAACTTACAGTCTTCAGAGGAATGGAAGTGACGGGATTTTCGCTAATTCTGTTCGTTTCTGAGTAGAAAATTATTTGATTTTTCTTCCAAATTCGAAGCTGAAAATGGGATTTCAAAACTTTTTACAAAGCGACGAAGGATTCGAAATTTATTTCATAATTTTTCGCGGAAAATACCTAAACATTGTCAACATTTTCAAGTGAAACTTTAGAAAATTGAACATTTAGGAGAAAGTCTTAGAATAAATCTTAAATATCTCTATCTATAATATCTTAAGAAATTTGTCGTTGTTTATTGAAATTACACAACATTTTTTGTCTCAGTTCACGAGCTGAGTTTGGACATTTGTTTTTATGTGATGAAATCAATTAGTTGCCCACTTATATAATGTGCTATACGAATTTTATGGGTAGTAAAAAGAACATTCACAAAAGGCCAAATAAATCAAAGAATCAATTTATTCAAATTGCGAACTTTTATTTCTGAATATGAATGTTTCGGTAGATGTTCACAATGATAACATTTTTCAAACCCCGCCTAAAGGTTTGGCCTGTTCTGTCTGAGCAAAAAGTTTGAATGCACTAGAACAAAAAAATATGAAAAATTGGGAATAGGAAGTCGGCAAGCGCTAAAAGTGAAAGCTGATTACTGTGTCGGGTCTAAACGGTGTACTAAATTGTTTTGATTATTTGTGGGCCTTTTTGATTTGAGTTTAGGTAAAACTGAATTTTTTAAATAAATTAATAAAATATTAACTTTATCAGAATGAGCGCATAAACTTATTCTGATATTTTGTAGTTTTATTCTGGACAATTAAATGCAGGAGTGCAATGCATTCCAAAAGCGAATTTCTATATGAAGTAAGCGCGTCAACTAAAAACTCATCTTTATAAACAGCAAACTATCTATGTAATACGCTTAATTTCCAAGAATTTTTCATTTATATTGCCGCTAGTTTCGGTCCATTTGTTGTTCGAATGCGGAGTCCGAATTTGTCGATTACGATGTCGTTTTATCTATGGAAATTTCCAAAACTAGGAGATTTCTAAATATAAATTTTAAACTTTTATACTGAGAACATCATTAAATGACAAAATTACGTTTGGTTTGTTAAAACTGCATGACTAATTTAAATATGTTGCGAACTTTTCACTTGAATATGGCTTTTTTGGTGGATATTTACATAGGTTGCATTTTCTGCAATTCCGCTCAGGCGCATACATAATGTATCTTTGAAAGTTTGAAAGTAATTGGGCAGTTTAGGAACACATTTCGACGTTTTTAAAGAGCATTTTATTCTGGACAGTTTAATGCAGGATGTACGCTACTGGAAAAGCAAATAAAGCTAAACGCCTCCAATAAGTCTTATATTCATCATAATAAAATAAACAATTTTTTTCAGGCTTTTAAATTGCATTTTATTGCAGAAGGTTTTCCATAAAGGAAAATTGGAACTATGTATTTCTGTTTTATTGAAAGCATCCACAAAAAGCGAGGGACCATATAACTTTCGTTTGCAATTTTTCGATGGAATTTAATGAATATTTTATATACTGCGGCTTACGGAAATCTCTTGATAATATATCCTCAAGACTAAGGGAGATTTAATAAATTAATTTTCATTTTTTGCTAAGCATTTTCACGCTATTTGAATATGTTTTTCCTTTCAATTCAATATGTTTATATTTTTTGAATCACATATTAAGCATTACTTTATGCTTTAACTTTTAAAGGTCTTTTGGAGACTTTTGGATAATATATATTTAACAGCTGCACCTAAAGACGTGATTAAATTTAATCTGGTTAATAAATCTAAAAATTTAATCTGGTTTTTTGCTAGTTATGATTCTTGAATGCTGTTCTACATTAGTCTTTTTTCGCAAAATAACAATTTAAATGAAGGAGCTATTTTCAAGTCTAGCCGTTTGCGTGAAAACTAGATATATTCTTAATAATATATTTGGTATAAAAAAGAGCACATTTTGAGGCTCTATCCCGCAATGACAATTAGAGCGTTACTGAATAGTCAGATCTTCAAATATGGGACAAGACTAAGGTTTTCAAAAGGCGCACAATTTGGATATTTTGCATTTTACGAAAAAACTTGAAATATTCCTAAAATGATGTTTGGAATAAAAAGGAGCACATTTTAAGGTTCTATATCGAAATGACAATTAGAGCTTTGCAGCTAACTCCGGTTCCCTACATAAAGGCGGAGAGCGTGTAGCCTACCCCGCGCTAATTTAGAATTTTCGCATTTTACGTAAAAACTAGAAGTATTCGTAAAATAATGTTTGCTATTAAAAGGAGCACATTTTAAGGCTCTATCTCCAAATGACAATTAGAGCGTTACTGAAGACCCAGGTATTCAAATACGGGCCTAATACTAAGCGCGGTTTTCCTACGGCGCACAATTTAAAATTTTCGCTTTTACGAAAAAACTTGAAATATTCCTAAAATGATGTTATAAAGGCTCTAACTCGAAATGATAATTAGAGCTTTGCAGCTAACCCCGGTTCTCTAAATATGAGCCAAAGACTGAAAGCGTGTCACCTTAGCCGCGCTAACTTAGAATTTTCACATTTTACGTAAAAACTAGAAACATTTTGCTATAAAAAAAATTACACATTTTAAAGCTCTATCTCGCAATGGCAATTAGAGCGTTACTGAAGACACAGATCTTCAAATACGGGCCAAAGCCTAACCGCGGTTTTCAAAAGGCGCACAATTTGAAATTTTTGCATTTCAAGAAAAAACTAGAAACATTCATAAAATGATGTTTGGAATAAAGAGGAGCATATTTTAAGGCTCTATCACAAAATGACAATTAGAGCTTTGTAGCTAACCCCGGATCTCTAAATATATGAGCCAACGTCTCAGAGTGTGTCTCCTAATCCGCGCTAATTTAGAACTTTTGCATTTTCCGTAAAAACTGGAAACATTCGTATAATTATGATCAGTAAATATTAAGCCTCTATCCGGCAGTGACAACTAGAGCTCTGCAGCTGAACCAGTTCCCAAAACATGATCCAAAGACACAGGAGCGGTCTGAAGACCCGCACCAATTTTCAATTTTTGCGAGAAAACAAGTTAATCCTAAAATCATGTTTCGTATGAAAAGAAGCGCTCTTTACGACTCTATCTAGCAATGGCAATCGGAGCGTTTCTGCTAACTCGGTTCTTTAAATATGAATGAAAGACTAAGAGCGCATCTAAAAACCCGCATTAATTCTGAATTTTTGCATTTCGCGAAAAAACAAGGCATATCCTGTTATCGTTGATGTTTGGTTTAAAAATATGAGCAATTTAAGTTGGTAACTGGCAAAGGCAAGTAGATTTTTGCAGCTCGACCGGTTTTAACAATATGTGGTAAACACTAAAAGTGGTTCTCAAGGCCAGCATTACTTTAGGTTTTTCGTAGTTGCCTAAAACATAAAACATTTTTAAAATCATGTTTGCTAATCAAAATTGCCCACTTTAAGGCTCTACCTCGAAATGACCAATAGAGCTTCACAGATAAACTCGTTATAAGCAGATTATTAAAAACGGTTTTCCAAGAACCACAATAATTTTGAATTCGCGCACTCTGTGTGATAACTAGAAACAAACATTGCTTAAATTACGTTCGGGACAAAAAGTGCTCAATTTAGGGCTTTAGGCAACAGAGGCGCGCAGCTCAACCGATTTTCGAAGTATGAGCCCAAAACTATGTGCGGTTCCGCATTAATTTTGATTTTCGCACTGGGCCTGAAACACAAGAACATTCCAAAAATTTATGCCTACGAGTGCAGCAACTAAATTCAAAACAAATTAACCGCGTAAAAAAATCAGTTCGAGAGTCCGATAAAAACAACGTTATTTCTACTCACAAATGTAATTAAGTCATTAAATGCATTAATTTCAAAGCTAAACTCCTAACTAACTTAGAAATGGTCATTGGTAAACAGTCAAACCAACGAAAAATCAAAAATTATTCTGAAATTGGCAATTAACACTTAGAACTAGTTTGACAAAAAGAAACTAACAACAAACGGTTACATAAATACATTGTGTATATAATAAGAATACTTGAAATTGGTCGAGGCTTCAGCTCTTTGGTTAAATAGCGGCCAAACCGCCTTTCTCACATTTTGCTCGTTTTCTAATCCGAAAAAACGCCCAGATAGGCGCGGCAATTTGGACAAAAATGCTTTTTGCTCTGGCACGAATCCATACAGTACGGAATACAGCAGCAGGGCCAGCAGCTGAAATAAAAGGCGATTATTTTTAAGCCCAAGCAATCGATTTTTCAATTGCTTCTCACCCAAAAAGGCAAAGAATTAGTGCAAACAAGTGCGTTTTCGTATTAGCTTCAACTTCCATAGTGCTGACGATGTTGGCATGGCAGTGAGGGCAGACGGTTCGTGTTGGTTCCGGGCCCAGAACTAATGCAGTGTGAGTCACGATCACTACAAATATACAGAGTGGTTAAATGAACTGCACACTATTGTGCACTTGGTAAATTCTACTTCAAATTCGCATCCTTTATATTCCAAGATTTATACCTGTTTGATGTTCATTAATTTGGTCAGATGTAGTGGGTGGAGGTGGATATTGGCCTGGAGCATAGTGGCCTGCAGGAGCACCAGGGTTAAATCCTGGTGGAGGCCCAGACATGTATGGTGGAGGCACGTCTTTCGACATTTTGCTGCAATTATTCAAAGATCTTTTTAAAATATACAGACGCAAATAATGCGTTGATCTAAAATATTTTCGAGCTTTACTGATTATAATCTTACACAAATGGCAGCTAATCCAGGTTAATCCATACGAACAAGCAGCATTATCTGATATGCCTACAGCAAGACACGATGCTTATTAACCTGCTTATCTAAATGCAAAACTACTTCTACTCAATGCGATAATGCACAAAAATAGATTTTCTGGGGAATAAAGCGATAAGGGAATAAGAACAAATTATATTTCGCAGTCATCCATATTTCCACTTAATGTGAAGGCTCCATGTATATGATTGAAACTTTGCTATTTAAAATACTGCAAAAGCTAATAGATACTATAATGTTTACTTACTTGACTACTTTACTTGTATCAATAAAGGTCCAGGGGATTGTGCAAATATAATTAATCTCATAGTTACTTATGAAATCACCTGATAGGCATTAGGAGTATGATGTTAAATTTGGACGATTTTAAGCTAGTTAGATTCGGTGGGCAAAGGAAACTTTAAACTTATTTCTGAATTATCAAAACGCTTTAAAATACTTAGCAAGCAAAAGAAAAATTTACTTTAATAAAAGTCAAAGCGTATACTTAATATTTATCAGACAAAATGTAAAACTTATGTGATTAAAAAGATCCATGTTGGAAACAATTTTAAGGAATAACAAATAAACTGACTGAATAAAACCTCTAGAAACTGCAGTAAATAATGCTGCAATGCTTTCAATAAAATAAAAATATTCGTTTAATTACAATCTTCTACGAGAAAATCTTTTTTCGAGATGATGCAATTACAAAGCCTGAAATAAGTTTCTCTTGATGAATATAAGATTTCCCTTAAGGGCTAAGCTTTATTTGCTTTTCCGATAGCGTAACTTCCTGCATTAAACCGTCCAGAACAAAGGGTGTAGGCGAAACCGCAGTACGTTAAACTTCAACTGGTACAAGTACATCAAGTAGAATCGAACTCACGTCTATTCAACTCAAGTGCAAAAAAAATCGTCCATAGAGAATTAAAATATTTTTAGTTTCAAAAAACTCTTGGGTGATTTTTGCAAATACTCCATATCCTAAAAACTCGTATTTCTCTTTTGCAAAAAGCATTGTTTCAATCAACTTCAATTTTCAGCAAAAATAACAAGCTAAGTTGGGCGTATCGTAAAATATTGTGAAATCAAGAGCTTAACTCAAAAAAGTTGCATTTTCTCTTTAAACCTTCTTTTATCCTGGAAACGAAACACAGCTTTGCCTCTGGTGTCCTCATTTTCAGACACTCTGTCTGGTCTTCATTTCATGTTTAACAGTTGAAAGTTGAAAATGTTGCTAGTTTTTTTATAAAGAAGGCTCGTTTTCTAAGAACGTTCCATGCAAAGGCAGTTTTTGAGCATTTAATTGGGTTTGAAAAATTAGCGAAAAACTAAAGTTTCCCTTCTGACTAATAAACATTTTTGAATTGAGAAAAATAGAAAAACTAGTTACTTAAATCAAAAAGAGAAAACTTTTAATTAAAAGATCAAAATATTACAGAAAGTACGGAATTAATGCAGTTTGCTGAAAATAAAATAGAATTCATTTAAATTTTGATCACAATAAAATGAGCAAAATGATTAGGTATTAGCCACGGCCCCCGGCCGAACAAAAATTCAACAAGATATGCAAGTCAGTAACCGGGATTTTCACTAGCAAAAACACACAATATTTTGCAGTTTCTAGGGGTAAATTTGTAAATCGTTGCCGTCTGAGCACTTTTTAAAGAAAATCTAGAAAACTCTGTACCTAATACCAAGCTTTTTGTTTCGCAAAAGTTTTTTTAAACACCTCCAAGTTAAACTATGGTTACGTGCCTTTTGATCAGAGTGTATGTATTATCAACAAAATCCTTTTAACCCAACAAAGTGCTGTTGATGCGTGCCTGCAAGAGGACAAATCGAAGCGTTATAAATTCACACACATTTGAACACTGCAAAAATGAGGCTATTAGATTATTAACAGGGAAAAGGGCATTGAAATAAAATAACTATGTATTTATCTCAACAGAAGCAGAACGTATTTTATTATGTTGTTGATACAACGAGTTCTTTAAGGCTCTCTTAATAGACTGAAATGAATCGATATAATTCGGTTGAGCTTAACCATTTATGCTTAGATCAGCGACTCAAAATTACGAGTCGAATTCTCTGAATATAAACATAGATTATGGCT